CGCCCCGCCCAGGCCGCCCACGGGCGGGACCCCACCCCACCCCACCCCACCCCACCCCACCCCACCCCACCCGGACGGGGCTGGGGGCCGCTCTTAGCATCCCCGCGCCTGTCCTGGTGGTCAGTGCAAACATGAGGTGAAGTCACAGCAAATGGCGAAGGCACATAGCAGGCGGAACCATTCAGTGGAGCCCGGGGAGGCTCTGGGAAGAACTGATGACACCAGCGTTCCCGCCTCACGCGAATCGGAATCACCTGTGAGCCCAGTGCGCTGCCTCACACGTGGGGCCACGCCGACGCCCCACCTTGCCAAAGCCTCCCAGGTGGCTCCACGGGGAGGCTGCAGACCCGCCGGCCTGGACGTGCGGTTTGGGGAGGGACGGTGTTTGAGCTGAACTAGGATGTTTCCGGGGGTGGCGGAGGGACGCCTTGCACCCACTGAACTCGCCCTCTCGCTGAACTGACACCTGCTCGTCCATGTCAGGCCGGAGGACGGCTGTTACTGGGGTGGGCCTGTGAGGCCGTCCCCCTGTGGGGTGTCAGGACGTTGCCCTCCGGACACGGAAACGTCAGAGATACTCTGGGCTCCGGGGGGCACAGCCCAGCACCTCTCGTGAGAGGGTCAGGGCACGACCCGCAGGCAAATGGCCAGGGGGCACTGCTTCAGGTCCACCTGCCCGGGGAGACCAGAGAGGGCTCTGGTCCTGGTGGCACGTTGCTCTGTGGGGCGGCCAGACCCCGCGGAGACTGAGCCTACATCGTGCTCATCTCCTCCACGGGCCAGGGCGTCTCCCTGAGCTCACCAAGCTCCCCTAGCCCACTTTTCTGTCCGACGGGCTCCCCTGGCCCCTTCCCACTCCGGGAGCCCTCTCTGGTGAACCAAGGCCGACGGAGGGCCGGGCACTTCCAGGCGCTGCTGTCAGACGGGCCACACGTGCACTGAGCCAGGTGAATGTCAAGTGGACTGGGCTCAGATGAGGTCCACCTGCCCCTGGACTGTTCTCCAGTAACAGGAACCACGGCTCTTTGGGGAAGTGGCTGCTTCTAACACTGCGGGGAAACCTGTGGTCCCAGAAACAAGAAAGCACTCAAAGCCTGGGGTGCGTCCCAGGGACACAGGTGTCAACTGGATGAGCTCCTGAGAGCAGGGCTGGGACAGTCTGAACAACAGAATAAAGGAGTGTTGGATTGTAACCCAATGTGTGAGATTAATACCCGCCAACGCCTACCAGCATAAACAAACGATTCACAACTAAGTGAACAGGGAGAGACCCATCTTCCCAAAGACGAAATCCAAACAATCTGTGTAGACAGTGCCCCCTTAAGCGGGGCTGGACTCGGTGACCCCGGAGTCTGGAGGGGGAGAGGGAAGGTGCGGCCCCACGGTTGGCAGGCCCGGCGCCACCCGTGACCCAGTGACTGAGGTCAGCCTCGGCAGAGACAAGCCATGCCAACCGAGGTGATGCCAAGGCCCTCCACCCCTGTGGTCTTCTTTCCAAAACCCAGAACCCAAGACCACCCTGAGGAGAAGGCCAGGCAAACCCCACCTCAGGGGGGGGTTTTGAAGTGCCCACCCAGCCTTCCTCACAAGTGCCAAGGTCAAGAAAGACAAGGAAAGCCGGAGCTGCCCCAGCCCAGTGGCACCCCGGGAGCCCGGGGCTGAGTTCTGTGGGGCCCGGGTCTGCGGGGGACAGCGCCCCTCACCGTAGCCTTGCTGCTGCCCGGGGTAGCCCTGCTGGTTGGGGTACTGCTGCTGGGAGTACGTCTGCTGCTGCGCCGTGCCCTGCTGGTACCCCGCCTGCTGCTGGCTGTACTGGGAGTTTCCTGCAGAGGGAAGGAGACACGAGCTTGTTTCCGGAGAGCAACGGTGGCTCCGTCGTCCTGGAGGCGCGGGCAGCGCCGGGACCCCGAGACCGAGTCCGCCGTTCAGCGCCTCTTCTTCCCCACGAGAGTTCAGATGTTTCGTTACACTTCCCCTTACTGTCTTACAGAGAGACAAACACACGGCCACAACGAAGCGGTTAATGCAATCAAGACAAAGACCAGCAAGCCCCAAAAGATTCGCTGGAGTCCTGACCTGGGAACCCGTGAACGTGTCTTTCCCAGAAACAAGGTCTTTGCAGACGTAATTGGTTAAGGGGGGGCCCCCACCCACTGACCCACCAACCCACTGACTGGTGTCTGTTTAAGATTCAGACACAGACACAGGGAAGGCTGGGTGATGGCGGAGACCAGGGCCCTGGAGGTGGACAGAGCCCGGGACAGCGCTCCCCTCACAGCCCCCAGAAGGATCTGAGTGGCCACAGGGTTAGTCTCTGATTTTCAGTGACCATCAACACTGAATAGTTTTAATTCGATTTCTAAACAGGCAGATACACTCACATGATTCAGAAACGTGAAAACAAACCAAGTCCACCACCAAGTCCACCTTGGAGAGGTCCAGGGAGGAAGGCAGGCACCTCCAGCCTGCCCAGCCCCAGCCTCACGGCCCCCGCCCTCTCCACTGCTGTCCCGACCCGGCACCCCTCCAGAGTCGCTCCCGGCAGGGAGTGTCAGCGCTCACTCTCGGTGCCCTTTGTTTTCACTCAGAAGGGGCACCCAGATACCTGATGCTGCACACCCGGCACGACCCAGGCGACCTACCACAGCTGTGCCCCCGGACATGTCACGGGACAACAGCTCTGTCCAGCCTTTGCTGCTGCAGACGTCTGGGTTGGGGGGGAATGCTGTCGGGACTTCAAGGATCCTGCAGAGGCTCTGGGGTGGCCCCAAACCCCTCGTCCGGCCCGGCTGGGTCGGCCATGCCCTGGCCCCTTCCAGCCGCTGGTCCTCCACGTTAATGCCTTTCACTCCGGGGCCCGCCTCCCGTGAACAACCCCAGGACCAGCCACCCGTGCCCACGGCTTCCTCTTCCCGCTGGGGGACGAATCCAGTTCCTAGGAAGTTCTTTCTGTCGGCTTCAGTGTCCCCCTCACCACTCCCGCCCACAGCCCTGTCCTCCGAGTGGCCGCAGGCGGTCTGTGCCCCGACGCGACCCAGCACGCTGTGCGCTGAGGGCGCCGGTGCCGCGGACACCTGTGTGGCCCCATGCAGCCGGCGTGAACAAGAGGGTGGAACAAAGCGCCTCCAGCTCCAGGAGGAGGCCGTGCCGGCTGCCACACCTGCCTTAAAGGAAGTTACTGAATGTTTTCGCAAACTCCTCATCAATCTCAGAAGACAAGAATTTGTGACCCAAAACGAGGTACAGAAACATGCGCTTCAGGCTCCGAAGGACTTGTCCCAGGCGACTGTCCGCGGGACGCTCTTAGCTCTCAGGATCTGCTGGAACGGAGCCGCGGAGGCGCAGGGCGCGAAAGGCTGGGGAGGGGCTGCAGGGACCAGCCCCACTGGGCCGAGGGCTGCCTGGGTGGGACCTCTCCTCGCGGCACTGACACCCAGGCGTTCAAACGCCCGCCGCACCAGACTCTGAATTTCACACATGTGACTGTTTTTAAAATGGCTCAAACCAGCAAACATTTATCCACTTCAAGTGTGCCTGCTCGGTGTGCCTGGTGAAATGGAACCTCACGGGCAGCTGCCACCCACTGACAGGTCAGGGCCCTGCGGTTACGAGGCCTCAGACCTGGAGCCGCACTGCTGGCGACACGACCTAGACTCATGGGCCCCCTCCCCAGGACCTACCTCCCCATGGCCCCTGGCCGCAGCTGCGCTCTGCAGTGTCCTGCCATGAGGGGCCCCCTTTCGTGGGCACAGCCCTCCCCGATCGGCCCGATCCCTCGAGCCTCCTGCACGTGTGCCACTGGCACAAGCAGCAGCCAGTCAAGGGCCCACGAAGCTGCCCGTGCGCCCAGGGTCCTGCCTCGGGGCCTCGTTCTCGAGAAACCTCCAAGGTGATGGGCACGTGGTGTGCAGAGATGGCTCGCTGACACCGTTGCCAACAGCGAGAGCTGAGGTGAAAAAAAGCAGGTCCCCTGGAGGACAGCGTCAGTGGTGCCCAGGTGTTCACGGGGGGCTACAGGTGTGCTTCCTCTGGTCGTGACTAAAGGCAAGACTGACCGCCACGCAGATGGCTGCCTGCATCGCGGTGCGGGAGAAAGCCGGGGAAAATCCACTTGTTCATGGAGAACAGCCAACACGCAGCCAGCCAGTGTGTGAGAGCGGCGGGGGGCGTGAGCTGCTCGTAAACAACTTGACTTTGAGATGCTCAAGCTCCTCGGGTCCCTCGTCTTACACTTGTCACAAGCATTCTAATCCAGCCAGGTCACTGCACCTGCTCCGGGCACAGGTGGGGCCAGGGTGTGAGGTGCCTGCCTGGCGAGGGGACAGCCCCGGGTAGAGTCCTTAGGGAACCGACTCCCCGGCATCAGGAGGCTGGTCTGAGCGCGTGTCCGGGAGCCAAGACCCACACGTGCGAACACAAGACGCCGCACGGGGAAACACAGGTGAGTGACCACAGCACAGCCTCCAGGGTGACTTCCCCCGTACTTCCCAGACTTTCTACACTCTCCTACCGTGTGTAACCAAGAGTCAAAGCTGTGCTTCGGAAAACAGTGCAGAAGTTCCTCAAAATGTTAACAATGGAATGAGCACATGATCCAGACCCTCCAGCTCCAGGGACTCGCAGGCAGACCCTGCTTTACTGTGCTGCGCAGATAACCGCAGTGCGGCTCCGGGTCCGAGGCCTCGCGCAGCTCAGCAGTAGAGCACAGGCTTAGCATGCACAAGGTCCTGGGTTCAACCCCCAGCACCTCCACTAAAGAAATAAATAAACCTAATTACCTCTCTCCAACCCCATTAAAAAACTTTTTAAAAAACCAAAAAAACTGAAAGCTTGAGGTGACCCTGCATCGCAAGCAAGTCTATTGGGGCCATTTTTCCAACAGCATTTGCTCCCTTCATGTCTGTGTCGCTTTGGCAATTCTCCCAACATTTCAGCCTTTTTTATTATTACGTTTGTTACTGTGATCAGCGATCAGTGGCCTTTTATGTTACTAATGTAATTACTCATTTGTTTTTATTTTTAAAGTAAGGTATGTATACTTTGTTTTCGACATAATGCCACTGTACCCTTCACAGACTATGAACCAAAAATTCACGTGATTGGTTTTACTGCAATATTCACTTCATCGCGGTGGTCTGGAGCCAAACCCGCAATATCTCAGAGGTCTGCCTGTGCCCTGAAGAGCTGAAAGCAAGATTTCCAAGAGTTATCTGTAAACCCATTTTCACAACAGCATTATTCACAATAGCCAAACGGGGGGAGCAACCCAGTGTCCATCGACAGGGAAACAGATGAGCAAAATGTGGTCTAGACACACAGCGGAATGTCACTCAGCCTTAAAGAGGAAGGGGGTTCTGACACCTGCTGCAACATGGATGAACCGTGAGGACATTATGCTGAGTGAAACAGACCAGTCACAAAGAGGCGAACACTGCATGATTCCACTCACATGAGATACTGAGAATCGTCAAATCCGAGACAGAGTGGGTGCCAGGGGCTGGGGAGGGGAAGTGCCGGGCGGTTAGTGTTGACTGGGGCAAAGTTTCAGCCTGGGAGCACGAGAAGGTTCTGGAGGTGACGGTGGTGGCGGCTGCAGCCCAATGTGAAGTGCTTAATGCCACTGACTGGAGATGCACTTCAAAACAGCTAAACGGTAAATTTCAAGTATTTTTACAATTGAAAAAATGCCACCAAAAAAGTCACATTTTCAAGTCACCCGTTTTGTATTTATTGTTTGTTTTTTCCTCTCTAGGGCCTTCCTGGAGCAGTTAGGTTTTCCCACCACTGATCAGGGAGGCTGGGATCGGAGCCGGCTGACCTCACATCCCCCATGTTTCGGGGCCTCCTGAGGGTGGGGGGAGGTACCCTCACCCTACGGCCTGGGTCTAGCTGGCACCCACTTGAGAACAGACTATGCCTGCTTCTTCCCCATTCTGTACTTGGTGACGTCACTTTGGCGGCTTTAAGTCAGCCGGCGGGGACATGGGCGAACGCTCCAGACCAGGGCTTTCCACCTGGGGAGCCACTTCCAGCGCGCCCTGCCTCACCCTCCACCTGCCGAGGCCCCACCCAGAGATGCGCCTTACCTGGCCAGCAGGTGTTTGAAGACACACTCCGGCCACACTCAGCACAGCAACATGCCCACGTGTTCTGCCCGCCTGGCTTGGGAGGTGGGCTGTGAGGGGAGAGGCTGCCTGGGTCCCTGCCGTCCACCTTCCCGCCTGCTGAGTTTGGAACAACTGACGGTCTTGACTGAGGAGCCCTGAGACCAGCTCACAGGCCCCAAGCTGGCAGCTGGACCCGGTGGTGGGTATGCTTTATGCACACACGGGCGAGCAGGGACGCGGTGCCCAGCCTCCAGGCCCAGAAAGCCCGCACGCGACACGCCCTGGGCGCGGCGGCAGCCTTACCGCCCTCGTAGTAGTGCTGCGTGGGCTCCTCAAACGGCCGGTCGTAGCTCTGCTCCGGGTAGGACGACTGCTGGTAGGCGTAATCGCCGTGTCCTGCAAGCAAACGGGTGCCGTGCGGTCAGCGAGGCCCCCGGCCACCCAGGCCCCGGAGTGACAGCTGTGAACACAGCGGTCAGGTCAGGAGAGCTCGGGCTGGGCGCCGGCCTGGTTTTCCCCACAGACGGAGCCCATGCTGTCAGGCAGCCGCGGGTCCCTTGCTTGAAAGTACAGGTGGCCACCCTGCTCCTCAGGGAGTGTGCAGACAATGAGCCTCAGTCACAGAGGACAGAGGACACTCGGTGCCTCACACGTGATACACACTAGAGGCTGCTGGCTTTAACGTTGCTGCAGGTCACCATCCCGCCGCCCGCTTGTGTTCTGTCGGGGCGCCCGGCCCCTCGTGAGGCCTGGTTTCCCTTACGTGGAGCAGCCAAGGCTGGCCCTGCACTGGTCTCAGTCACCTCCCCGCTGCCCACTGTCTGACCCAGTCACATGGTTCCCTGACTGGGGGTCCTCCCCAAATCCCACCCATCCTCTGTGGCCACTTTAAATGCCCCCAACATAAATCCGGGGGCTATTTGAAGGCACTGAAAGGTGATGTGGAAACGGAAAATGACCTGCAGAAACCGTAACGGAGCAGCTGGGAGGTGAGTGTTAGGAGACACGACAGCTCAATGTGCCCCTTCCTGGAGGCACTTCCCAACGTGATGGGACCCCCCCCATCTTTAGGACGTTCATATCCGTCCACTCAGGGGACTACACACCCTGCCCCCAAGGAGGCCAGTGGCTGCAGGCTGTGCTGGGAGCCTCTCTGTGCAGGGACTGGCCTGCCCCACGCCCTGGGGACCCTGGGTGGGTGGCGGGGCGGCAGGGCCTCACCGTCGGGGTAGTACGGCTGGCTCACGGGCTCCGAGGCGGCCTGGCCGTGGCCGTACTGCTCGCCACCGTAGTACTCTTCCTGGCCGAGGTACTGCTGCGATGAGCCTGCGGGGGGCAGCACGGCACGTCACCCTGGACCCAGGAGCCTCCCTAATGGGCCACCCTCCAACCAGAGGACACCCCACGGGGGCCCCAGGGGAAACTGGGCAGTCTGCTTTCATGCGCCAGCCCCAGCCCCAGCCCCAGCCCCAAGCCCCAGCCCCAGCCCCAAGCCCCAAGCCCCAGCCCCAGCCCCAGCCCAAAGCCCCAGCCCCAGCCCCACCAACACCGATCCCCAGGGGCTCCCGGCTGGCCTCCAGGAGCAGGGCGGGCCTCGAACGCCTGTGTAACTCCAGAGCCCCCACACATCCTCACTCATCGCCAAAGAACTCCCCTGGCTCCGCGCCCCGCTCCCCTCACCTTGCTGGGAGGGCCGGTAGGGCGCCAGGGGCCGCTGCCCCATCATGCTGCTCCCCTGCCCGCTCGGGCCCATCATGGCCATGGACTGGCCCTGGTAGTGCTGGCTCCCGCCCTGGGCCGAGCCGTAGTGGGACGAGGCCGCCTGCTGGTGCATCATGGACACTGGGCGACATGACAGACCCCGAATAACCCGAGAAGCCCCTGGGGCGGCATCCTCCCCCACCCAGCCCGACCGCCCTCCTCCGGGCCAGGACGTCCCTGCTCCCTGCCCTGTCCCTCAGGAACCATGAGACTCCCACCCACCTACTCCCAAGCCCCTGAGGCTGGTCCCGGGGAGCCTGGCACCTCGCCCGTCCCCAGACTCAGGCCTGTCCTTCCATGTAACCCCTGCCCGCGACCCCTGGAGCAGCGTGGCCAGCACGGCAGGGTGGGAGCCGTGTCAGGCAAGTGAAAACGAACAGGGGGCATCTATCTCAGTGACACGCTCTGTCTGACTCAATATGCCCAAAATAGATTGTTTCCAACCCGCAGTGAACCTAACGAGAACGGGGGACATACTCACGTCCCCTTTTTCTGTGCTAAGCCTTTGAAACCGGGCGTCTGACACTCATGGGCACCCCAGCCTGGACCTGATGCTGCCCAGGTGCTCAGGGCCCTGAGCGGTCACCGCAGTGGGAGGCCCACCCGTGGGGCCCCTGGGCCTGCCCTGCACGCTCCCCGCTCCTGTGCACTGGCCATGCCGCGCCCCTACCTGTCCTCCCAGCGAGGCGCATGCCACCCCTCCTCAGAGCTTCCCTGAAGCTGCTGCAGGGAACAGCCTAGCCCCTCAGCACTGGCCCCCGCCTGGCCTGCACCTGCCTGGCCCCCCGGCCGTCCGGAAGCTGCCGGCGGAGGGCGGTCTGCGCCCGCGTGGGAGGGTCCCGGGGCCGGGCGGGGGCGGTACCGTGGGGTTGGAC